GCTTCACGATGGCATGTGTGTCACTGGGTCCGAAGATGTGCGTGCACACATACAATACACGTGAAAACGCATATATCTTACACAGACAATGAGGAGGAAAACGCGTGTGGCCCCGAAAATCGGGAGGACTTCTCCTTATTCTACGATCCTGACAGCACAGATATCCAGGGAACGTCCTGAGTACGTTCTGAGAACGTCCCAATATCCTCAGAATATCCCTGGAACGTTCTCAGAAATTCTTGTGTTGTCTGGGGAAGAGTACTTTTTCACCGGTGGTTTTCCCTTACTCTCTCCCGAGATGGGACTGGTCCCTTCTCATCTTCGCGGTGATTTCTCATAGTCGACACATTGCATTTTGTATTCATGTACACATTCATGTACACATTACTGTAATCCCGCACATTTCGCACTTGTTAGCAAAGTCTAAAAAGTCTTCAAACTGTCTCGAGTAAATTTCTCCCAAAGATTAAAACGTATCGTTCGCACAATCTTTCGAATTTCACTTTAAATAACATTGCCAAGGTGTAAGTGGTTTTATTCGAGTAAAGTCTATTTAAAATTGAAGGGACTTTTGTCGATTGTCTTGACTCGAGATCTCATGACACGTACATGCATTCCACATTCACTTGTGCCTTCGCCGTGTACGTTAATTAATTAAACTATTGTTATATAGTTTAAAGCTGAACTTCTATTATCGCATTGTGTTCAGGATGAACTTAGGGGTGCCTCGCAGCTTCGTGATACTCGATAGTTTTCTCCAAACATTCTAGGATGTCTCGCGATAGCGAGTGCGTCAATTAAAGACGAACATCGGCAGGCATTCCCGACCCGCCCATAGATTTTTTACACGGCCCGGTGCCACATTTTTCGGTGCGCAATTAAAGGAACAAACTATTCTGTGTAACAGGAGAAAAAGAACGACCTCTCGCCACGGGTCAGAGGTCCTCTCGTGAGAGAAGAGCGATACATTCTTGCGGAGAAGGCTCCCCTTTCTTCGTCTCGAAAGACGTTCCTGTCGCAAATTAAATCTTATCTCTCACGACTGTATAAACTTCGGCACGCGATATATCGCAGGCGAGTTTATCTAAAACATCTTCAAGAAATTTATGTACGCAACGCAAGTGCTATGAATAATGCGATAAATTTTCTATCTGCGCCGCTTGATTTTCGTTCAAGATGCGGAACATTTGTCTTGAATAGCTACATTAATGAGTTTTACTAAACCTAAACTATTAAGAGCGAGCATCAGCAGGCATTCCTGGCTCGCCCATAGATCTTTTACACGGTCTAGACACTGCGTATCCTCAAAATTTCATTCGCTTATTGTCTGTCAGGCTCAGAGTCGTAAAAATTGATTGAACTTGTTGAAATCAGTTGTCAGTTAAATGGTCTCTATTTGGATTAGCTCATATGAATCGTCAATTAAATACGATAATTAATTAAGAAAGTGACGAATCACTCGCAACCCTTACATCTCAGACTTACATCTCGTTCAACGGTCGATCGATTCGTTGCCAAGCACGATCGCACAAATGTCGTTGCTCTATCGATTCGAGAAAGTATCGCGTTGGATTCGAGTTTTCAAAGAGGCGCAGAAGCGCGATAAGTAGCAGCCAGGTGACAATCAGCCGCAGAAATATGGAACGTGACATGATCGCGGCTTGGTCACCTGGCCTCTTTCTAAATTGCGACTGATGTATGCGCGCGGGGTCGGTATGTCATCGTTTCGTTCATTGGTATGCCGATACATCGCAACACTGAACCCATTTCGCGATCGCGTTTACGGTCCGCTTGATAGATTTGGCACGAACGCGACCGTGAGGGATTATTTTCGGCGTCGGGACGACCCGCAGGTGCATCGTGCGTCGCGCGCCATCGAGAGAGAATCGAAGAACGACCGCGGCGATCGGCTGCTTTGTCACCACGAACATGCGGCGTTTAACGCCGCAATTAACTGAGTTTCGACAATTAATATATCTAATGGTCTGTTCTTTTCACCTGCACTGCTGAATTGGTGCAATAAATTAAAGTGAGACAAGTATATTTTTTCTCACTCAAACTTATTGCACGAGTTCAGCAGTGCAGCTGAAAAGAACAGACCATAAGTAATTTTGTCGATATTATCTTTTTTCTTCGAATGTCGTCACAATTTATTGAGAGCCTCGACTCTGATCGGTTTATAATTTTAACTCTTCAGTTTTCATCTTGTGCAAAGTTATCACGAAGAGCGGACTTCGTTATCACCGTCCTGACAAACGATAAGCACTTTCGCGAGAGATTTCACAATCGATTTTAAATCGAGATCAACGTTGCTCGTCGCATTTGCCAATGTGCTGACTGCTGCTAATTCTTTCGGCGCGTTAAACCGGCGCGTGTTACAAAGTGTACGGCTTCTTTCCCAGGCCTCTACGGTGTGGTTTACGCTACATCTGTTTACGTTACTTTATACACGATACTCTCGCCCTCGCCCGTGGAGACAGGAGGGCGAGATTAATACGCCGCAGACAAGATATCTCGAGGCGTACAAATAGCATTAACCCTTAGGTGCGCCCTGCCGTGAAATTATTGCAATTTATTTTCCTATGACAATAATTATCTTGCTTTTGAAAAGCACGTAGGAAAAGTCCTTGGAAAGAAAATATGGAAGAAGCGTGAAAGAAAAAAAGAAAGATAAAAACTGTCATGATTCGCAATAAAATATCATTAAAAACTTAAAAGAATAAATGTGAAAAATGCTTAGAACGCAGACTCATAACTGTATGTACAGCTCTGAAATCTTGTCGCGACATCGACATCTAATAATATAGTGTATAAAAATTGAAGAAAATACAAGATTGTCGTAAAAATAGATATTGAAAAAAAACATGTTTACTCTCAACAGATTCACGTAGATCGGAGGATAAAGGAAAATTTTCTAAGAATCCTCTATGCTTTCATATACGTACGATACTCTACATTGTTTTGACGCATAGCTAATTGTTTTAAGACAACCGATACAGTGTGACGTACGCTTCTTAGTAGAAAAAAAAAGATATGCGACAGTTAATGTACGACCGGTGTCTTTAAGCGATGGTAGATCCCAGCGAAAACGTTGTAGCGAGACGCGACGTGTCGCGCTTTTCCGTGCTCTTCGTAATTCCTCGCGAGCGACAAGCTCGTATCTCAGGTCAATTAAAGCGAACTCGTCCGTAAACGACAAACACGTGGAAACCGTTGCATCTCTCACTCTACTTTATTGCGTAGGTGTGCTTTATGGAACGAGCAACGCGACGGCCGCGTGTGAAAAAACTGGAACGAAAGGAACATCGGTGGCGCAGTAAAATCATCGGGCAAGCGATTCTCGTGCAAAGTTACATTTTATATTTGCTTCTGTGAGATGCATCACTGAACTATCGTGAACAATTCGACAAAAATGAGAGATCAACTCACGTGTCCGTTATCGTCGAGTTGATTGTTCGTCAGCTTCAGTTTGTCGAAGGAAATCGGCTGCTTCATCCAATGCGCGCCGCTCGCAGGACTATCGGGATGCACGTGGATCCTGGGAGGTGACACTGGATCAGCGCGACCCGCTACGACCCAAGCGCTGTTATGGAAGGCGTATCGGTATCTTTTGTCGTCACACGGCACGAAGTCCATTACCATCAGATATTCCGTGTTGGGGTCCAAACCGAATAGTCGACACTGCCGATTGACGAAATCTCCGTTACTTTTTTGTGCTCGTTCCGCGAGACGCATTTCGCGAACAATTAAAAGAAATTGTAAAGTCGCGCATAAAGTGCACTTGTAATCACGTCACGATTCACCTTCATATTATAAGATAAATCCGACATATAATTAGAGACACTCTATCAAATATGAATATTCAAAATTTTCTTCTCGCTCTAGAACCCTGTTCTTCCTCGAAGCTCTGCATAGTCGATACAGCTTTTACATTGAATCCGTTTCATCGATGGCGTTTCGTTCCTTTTAATGAGCGATCCTCACCTGGAACGTGGGGAACATTCTTCGCCCGGCTTTCGTAACGATCATTTCGGTACCCAACTGGTGGAATTCCTCCCAGAGCGGCTTTGCTTCCAAGGCAGTGCCGGCGCCAACCAACGCCGGATGGAGCGGTCGTTTAGCGCCCAATTCCTCCACGGAGGATGCACCGTCGTTGCTAGGATGATGATCGCCGTGATGACGATTGTTGTTGTTGCTGTCGTTTCGCGACTCCACCGTGGTCACCGACGAGGAGGCCGGATTCGCCACCGGCTGGACCGGTGCGGCGATCTTGGTCGGGTTGGGACTGAGCGATCGCTTAACTCTTCCGGCGCTCTGCAAACAAGCTGAGAGAATGACGATTCAGCGCGGGAGTGCTCCGACACTCGATCGAATGTGCGAAGGATATCACTTGGATTTGGATGGCGGAATAGAAACGAGCGATCTCGGCACCGCATTGGACACTTTTCATGTAAAATAGAGAGAATTGCGGAAACGGAGACGTTAACGTTATCGTTTCTTTCACGAAAGATCACTCGCCCTTAATTCATATATGACACGCCGTTATACCTAGAATCGCGAATTTGAAATGTAAAAATGGCTGAGAAACCGACGCAACGTTCCTCGCGAAGTGAGCAGTCGACCGAGACCACTTTCTTTGTCCTCGAAGTAGGAACTGACAAGCTCCGTCCGCAGAATGCAATGAAAAAGCTCGGAAAGCACGATGTGCGAACTAAAAGGCTAAAAAGAAGCAGACGCGTGAAACGCGTCGGCTTTAATGCGTCCGCCGTTTCGACGTAACGGATAAATCTAAGCGGCATCTGAAGCGCGTCATCACCTCGCAAATCACTCGCGTACATTATTGTAAAAAACACGATTAGGTCACTTTTGCATTCTTATTCTGGTTATCTAAATTGCTGTAGATGTGAAACTATGAATCGACTGTGATTTTACACAAGACAGACCAGAATGCGTAGTTCACCTTCCATTTGTTGCATCGGCGATGGTACAGCGGACAATTGCTGATGCTGATGATGATGCTGATGCTGGTGATGATGGTGGTGATGATGATGATGCGCTGGCCATTGCTGGTAACAGCAGTCGGCGACGAGCTCCCGTCGTTGCTCATGTTGCGGCTGCATCCTGGTTGAGTCGAAAACGGTATCGGTATCAATAATCACTGTACATCGCGGTAGAAAACACGCATTATCCATGCGGGCTTGCGTAGTAATCCATGTCGTAAAGTTCACTTCAACTTGGCATGCACTGCGATCGTGATCCGTCGATACGTTTCTGGTGTAAATTAAACGAAGGAGGGAAACACCGTTTGCACTCGTAGATCATTTTCGTCGTCGTACTCTTATCGTTCGTCGATGAACCCTCATACTCGGAAGTATAAACGTAATATCTCTTCAATTGAAAGAAAGCAAATTTTACCGAAAATCGTCATCGCATTTGGATATTTATATATACACATGTATCACTTTTTGCGCGCGCCGGTAATTATTCACCATTAATCGGTCTAGTTTAGAGACCACTTCAGAGAACAGGTGTGCTTTCAACAGATTCTCCAAACTCTCTAACTTCTTTCCTCTATCTCTCTTCCACCTCCTCGTTATTAATGTCGCTGATAGTGTAACGTGAAACGACCGATCTTCTCAGCATCTCAGGCGGCTCCTCATTGAAAGAAAGAAAGCCCGGCTTTCGTCCGTCACGTTTCTTATCGCGCCGCGCGGCCGCTCATCGTAGTTTTTAGCACCCGCGCGACGATCCTGACCGACGAGTATCCGACGAGCCTCGACATCATCGTCGCAAGACGAGCGACCGCTCTACCGTCAACAGGACTTGTCCTCACCTCCGCGGTCCCGATGCTGACAAGGACGCTCAAAGCCGCGCGCCTCGAATCCCGGATGAATCAGAAAGAACTCGCCCGAGGCGACTACCCCGCTGGCTTATCATCAAGACATCATTCTCTGTCTCTTTTCCTTTCTCTCTCAATAGCGGAGAGCATGCCCTCTCTCCCGCATCTCTCTCCGGGCTCCTCTCTTGTGGAGAACCGTCTCGCGGAAGAAGGACGGAGCGAGGGGCGACGTAGAGAGTGATGCGGAAGAAAAGGAGGGCTTCTCCGAAGATCCTCCTACACGAGCACCCACGCTGGTCAGGGGTGGACCGCCGTGGGATGCTGCCCATGGATCTTCTGCTCTCTGTTTCGTATACCAGAAGGCGGAGTCTCGATGAGCCAGAAACGAGTAGGTGCAATGGACTCAGGAACGGGTCTTCATGTTGTGGCGCCTGGGTATACCTGCTTCAACCCTGATACGTGGTGATATGGGTGTTTCACTTATCGTCCTGAAAGTTCTTCGAGCAACTAAATCGTACACGAGTCCAAATTGCCTCGAGTATTGTTTTAAACCGTATCGTCTCGAGGGATCTTGACTTTGAGAAACCTCGAGAGTCTTGAAAATATCTTGGGGCACGCCTGTGAAGGAAAATAAAAGAATTAGATTGGGTCACAGAGTCAAGAGATGAAGGATTAAAATGTCAAGTATTCCAATTAAATGAAAAATTTTCGTTTCACATACTTATTTAATAATACTTGTACTACATACAGTATAGTGCCAAATGGAGTATAATTACGCTGTAACGTCCTTTAAGTCCACAGCACGTTTTATACATACTTTATCCTATTACTCATAAAATCCTGCATTGTGTTAGTATATCTGATAGTATTAATATATATATATACAATATCCGAACATGTGATGTATGTTAGCGCGCGTAAGATTACTTTTCTGTTCGCAATCTTGAAAGTTTTTCTCAAACCGACAATTCCTTGACAATGTGCGCAAAGAATATGTTTAAGTTTTTCTTTTGTTTTTCGCGACAGTGCTGAGAAGAATCTTAATTTTGGCATTTTTGGACATCACGACAAATCAAAGCCGCAATGCTGGAACAAATGAGCGAATTAGAATAAATCAATTAGAATTTTACATAAGAAGTTGCATTTCTCATCTTCGAAGTTGGAGACAAGTGTAAATATTCTTCAATATCACATGACTACAATTGATCCGTTCATTTCATCTTGTGCTTTCCTCTTCTGTTTTCCCTTTTCCTAAACACATTTTTATTTCATCTTGGATGACGAAGATGAAATTACAAATTAAATTGGCACTTCTCACGAGGATCACGAGTGGTGATCGAAGTGCTAACAAGATAACGATTGGTGTTATCAGTTTAGCCCTTATACATATACGCCTTTCTAAATGACGCAGATAAAATTGTGTCTCTAAATACAATACAGTCAATAGCAAAGTTTGAAATTATGTGTAGATGTATCTTCTTACGAATGAATGCTTGTATAGACGCAAAAGATATGAACGTTATGGACGTCATATTCGTTATTCTAAGCATCGAACAGTACCGGTAGCATACACGACACACTTACATACATATGATATTCGTAATGGATAAAATGGCGCTAAAGGCTGTTCGCACTAGGATAGATAACAAGTAGAATCACCGTCCCCTGGGTCGCATGTTCGAAGATCACTCGCTGGGATGCTAGATGTTTATATCTACTGAAGAGAGATGGCAGGTGTTTTTATGTGAATTTTATTTATAAAAGAGAAATTAATGTACAAGTATGAAGAGGAGACTAAACACATGATTGGTCTGAATCCGATAAGATACTCACGTCGTGATTTTCACACAGATGTTTGTTCCTTTTTGCTTTCGTATCATCGAGGATGGATATGTGCTTCATGTGATGTGCATTGTGCTAGTAGAACTGTGCTGACCATGAAGGGAGATCAAGGAAAACTAAATGAAAAAGAGTGATCATGGTAAATGATAATGTGAATTATAATGAGGATGATGATACGTCCCATGATTAGAGACTGTCCCGGTAGCAAGAATGAAACCCATGCTGCAAGAGGACACACTTTCTCCTCTTTTTTTCTTATTATCTTGGAATTAGTCGCCTATATTACGGTGACATCGATCGCTTTGCGATGCGTGCGCTCGCGCGTATTTATGTGTGTCCGTTAGTCGCACGATTAATACCCTCCTAGATTATATAATGTCATTAAGATGTTTCTTTCAGAGAAGCCTTGCCAGTCGTAATAATCGCAATACAAGTGCTTTTCCGTTCGTCCCACGAGAGGCAAAAATGATAACATGTATATGAGTAGTAATTACGACTTGTCAAATGTTCCAACATTTGCTTTTAGAATGAAATCTGTCTTTTGCGCTCTCTCTCTCTCTCACTCTCTCTTCCTCGTTCTCTCACCCGCTCTCTACATTTCACGATTCATATAAATGTATATTTATAAAAGTATGTATGACGTAATGGATATCGTTTACAAATTTGTGCAACTTATAGAAGTATATCAAGCGCTATAAATATCTATTATACTTTAAAGAATTATGTCTAGGCAATTGCTAGTTACTTGTGTATCGATATCTTCGTTAACGGCGTACTTACATAATGAAATGAAGCGAAATCGTTATATACGTGTGTGCATGTGTATGCGGTCTGCATATGTGTGTGTGTGACATTGCCCTAATTATCGTGTTGATTTTCGTCACAGCGCGAAGTGGTCGAAAGAGATCTTGGCAAATGATACTGACAACACCGATAAATAAATTCAAATGGCAAACAAACTAAAAGATACGGATATTATGATTCATGAATGCAAAAGACGATTTACAGTAAGTATGACTGTCCGTTTCTTCTAACTTTTTGTAATTACTGTTAAGAATGTCACGGCAGCCACATCAGTTTTAACTTTATCGTCGATAAATCGAATTTTATCACTACCATAATTTGTTTTTACACAATAACACATTTAGCTACAAACATACGCTATCATTTACTACTTTCGACAACGATCTCTGTGAAAAGCAACGCCCTTTAAGATTTTTCTGATTCGTACATTTACGATACTCCGTGACTTATCTTTGCAAGGCTTCGTAGTCAATTGAAAATAATAATAATAATTATAATAATATTGATAATAATAATAATTATTATAACTTTTTTTCTCTCTCGCTCTGTCTCTCCCTTTCTTACAAGAACTTAACGTCATAACGGATGATGGATCGGGGATAGCGGTCGTAAGATCCTAAGTGTCGCATTCGAAAGATAAGTCTAAGGGCTTCACTTCTTCTTGTTCTTATTGTTCGCGCCCCGTGGTGGCGTTACGGGCCGTCCTGCATTCAAACCGCCATATGTGAATTTCCTCTTGTCAGCTGGTTTCAAGATTTGGAAACTGCACATAAGCGTCTCATCTACTGACATCATGGCACCTGCGTTGTCGAATTCGCCACAGTAATTTGGAGCAGAGAATAGTGTTACCAACTGTCGCTTGGCAAAGAATTCGTAGCCATCTTCCACTACCTGAACAATAACCGTGAAATTTGCGATGTAATATTCTTACGAGAATTTAGATGGAAGCATCATAAATGTATAGATATATTTTCAGATAATTGTGTACGTGTAAAACTTTACCTGATGGGCACGGCATATAAGATCAAAGTCATGTTTATGTAAAAATTTAGCAACGACTTCTGCACCAAACGTGAATGATACACCACGATCATTTTCGCCCCAGCCCATGGTATCCTTATCAGGATCAGACCATAACAAATCACAAAGCAGTCCCTGATCAGGTACATCAGTTGGTCGCATAATACGCCTGATCTGCTCCATACTCTGCAGATCCGGACTTAAGCCTCCATGGCAGCAGAATATTTTTTCGTCCACTATTGCAGCGACAGGCAGGCAATTGAAGCAATCGGTAAAAGTTTTCCATAGTTTAATGTTGTAACGACGTTTACCTGAAATATTTTATTATAACAGAGATGAAAATGAGCATAGATGACAAATAATAAAAAAAGTAGGCCAATGGAATTATTATAAGTATTATTTCTCCACAGTGTGTAACACTTACATTCATCATAAAACCCATATATCCTATTAATGGACGCACATTCGTGATTTCCTCTTAACAAGAAAAAATTTTCAGGATATTTGATCTTATAGGCAAGAAGGAGACAAATAGTCTCTAATGATTGTTTTCCTCTGTCAACATAATCCCCTAGGAAGAGATAGTTGCTTTCGGGTGGGAAACCACCATATTCGAATAATCGCAACAGGTCATAGTATTGGCCATGAATATCACCTAAACGGATGTGTCATACAATTATCTTAAATATATTTTTTATTTTTTAATTTTTTCTGGTTTTATGCATTCGTTTACTTACCACATATTTTCAATGGTGCTTCGAGTTCTAACAGGATGGGTTGTGATAGAAAAATTTCACGTGACTTTAGACATAGTCCTCTGATCTCCACTTCTGTCAACTGAACATTTTTGCCTGGCCTAGCTCCTCGTACTAAAAAGAAATGAAGAGATAATGTTTCCATAACAGTATCAATAAAAGTGATATAACTTTATATCATAAATTAATCCTACCTTAACTACCTATTTTCTATATCTTTTCAAACATGATTATTAATTTAAATAGAAAAAAATGGAATTAAAGAAAAGTAGATTTTGTATAATAACATAGCTGTAATCTCTCATAATAATCATAATATTAAAATTACTAATAATACTTATAATGTTGAACATCTTATAATAATATTATCGTAATAGTATGAGCATAATACAATTTTTCTAATTAAGTTACATCATTCTGAATATATTTAAAGTTTGAAGAATATTTGTAAATAATAAGTAAAATTATTATACTTTTCAAACCATATATACTAAACAATTGTAAATCATGTTATCAGTTATTTGCTGTAAAAAAAATATACATCTGGACACATGATTCATTGATAGAGCTATATCCTTAACATTTATTGGCACTGTTCTTCTATTTTTCAAAGAGTCAACAGAGCATGAATGAATCAGCCTGGGTGTCTAATATAGCTCTATAGTCATAAGTATAATAAACTAGACTCTAAAATTGTTCTATGATGTATAACAATAGTGAAAAGACTGATTATACTACAAAGAGGACAGAGCAGATGAACAGAGAAGACAGAAGCAACTTTAGACCAAAAATCTCGACGAGAAGTGTACGCGGGCTGTCAACCTCATTTTGTGTAAACAAATGCAAACAACAACCGCCGCTCGGGTCGGCGTAAGCCCATGCAACTAAGTGCGTTCATCGGTTCTGTCGGCATTGCGTAACGACAGAGACGACACAGGAGTGTCAGGGCGTTGTTTTATCATGCCCTTGAGAGAGCAGAGACCGGGTCGGTTGGTCGGTCAGGCGTTACTGTCGTCATCGTCATCATTCTTGTCGTAGTAGTCGTCGTGGCACAAGTGAGCAAGCGAAACGAGGAGCACTGTGCGAGAAGGAATACGAGTGCATGTACGAGATGACGCTCGCAGGAACGGACGATCAAACGGCCGCGTTGCGTCGCCATCCCCCCCTTTTTATTTCTGCAACGCGAGACAGCGCACGGTGATCGACCAGTTTTACCTTCCAAGAGCCGAGCTATGATGTTGTCGATATTCAACTTGTCGGTCTCAGCCATTGGGCCGTAGTCTCGGTGCGTATCCCGAGCTTTACACGCAGCACCTTGTTACGGAGATAACCGTTGATCCACCTGGATTTCTCTACCTGCGTGTCGTATGACACTACGAATCGCGCTTACGCTTAGTCCCGCACAAGGTACCTACAATGGCCGCCCGGACTACCGCGCACTCCACTCCCTTTTGCTTTTCCTCTACCCCTCTGCCCCTCTGCCCCTCGTCCGAAGTGTAGTCGCGCGAAGTGCGCTAGTGTTCGCTTCTCGATCTCTCGAGCATGCGCACAGCCGTGTTCTTTGGACGCCGGCGACATCAACGCCACGCTTGTTCCATTGCTGCCAATGTGGCGAATTGTGTAATTAATTTAGCAGCAAGGGTGCGTTCGAAAACGTCACCTGGTGCAACCACTGTGTTGGGCTGATATTACATGTGTCGTACGACAAGCTTTTCAGATACATTGATTGGTTGATAGACAGAGAATCTAGCTTAGAGCAAAATATGGAGGGGGAATTGCGTATACCTTCTGTGTTGGGATTCTGTAACTCGTTATTGAAGTTAACGATAGTTTCGTTATCGTTACGCAGCTTTTCTATAGTATATAAAAGCTGCGCAACGATAACGAAACTGTCGTTAACTCCAATAACGAGTTACAGAATCCCAGCACAGAAGGTATACGCAATTCCCCCTTACAGGGCTACAGTTACAGGGCTACTGTAGACCAAAAGTATATCCAAGATCTGTGCAAGAGAGAAAGGTATACATTCCTATTCCTCCTCTGTGCGCATGCACCAACATGCGTCAGTTGTTGCTGGACTACAAAATTATTGGTTTCAATATTTTTTTACTTGAATTCTATCAACTTTACCGAAAAATAGCAAGAGATAAAAATTGTTTATTTTCTTCTCATAGAGCTTGGAGAATTTTTTCAGAATTTTATATTAACTTTTTAGTACTGAATTTTTTTGCGTTTTCTTGCATTTTCTTGAAGTACTAGAAAGTTAATACAAATTTTGAAAAAAT